GTAAAGAGCATCTTTGTTTACAGAGCTGAAGGCCTCCAATGGTGCCACTTGCTCTTCTGTACAGCTTAAGGTGTTGTGTTCATGCTCACTTTGAGATGTCATTTTTTTCTATCTGTTTTGCAAGCATACCGTGCCTGGATCCTTTTAAAGTCCTGCAGCTGCAGCTTCCTGTGCTGTTGCATAGCCACTAAAGCATCCAGAGTGTCATTGTGAATGAAAAACAGCGTTAAAGCCAAAATGTTTAAGTAAAGCCATGATCCCAAATATTTAGATTTCATTCTTGTGAAAATGTTCTGACTTTCTGAGAAAAATGCAACTATTGAACTTCTTTGGAAATAGACAGTTTTTAAGAGGTGAGGATCTTCCAGGTGTCAGGCAAGAGCTATTTCTTTTGAAATCACAGGCCAAGAAGTTCTTATATTAGCTATTGTATTACTGTTACAGGAAGTGCTCATTTTGAATGATTTTTTTTCATGTTTCCTTTTTCTTGCATGCCCTTGTCACGTTGTTGTCTCTAATTCATCCTCTTGATTTTACTTCCGTATGTGCTGGACTCTAGAGATTATATGCATACTTGATCTAGTATACTTTCACTCCTCTTTCTATTTGTCACTCCTATCTTACTTGTTTATTTAGAGTTGGTGCCAAAATACTTATTAGTTATTTATCAATTAAATTTGTAACTTAAATATATTCATGAATAAGTTTATTAATAAATTAGTACAATATAAAGTCACCATGCACACTTTATATGCTAGCTAAATTATGAGTTTTAGGAATTAGGATTAGAAGGTGATTTGAATTGATTTAGCCCTTATGAGAAGAGTAAGTCTGAATACTTCCAGCTCACTGATATTTATCATTGCCAATTGCTGGCAGATAGCGTGTTAGACACAGGACAGAGAGGACATCTCTGGTACAAAACAGTCTAGATTAGCTTGGTAAATTGAAAGTTGCTGCTCATTTCTGCTTAAATGAAAGAAGAGGTTTGTATCTAGGAGCACATAGTGAGAGCACACTGCCAGGTCTGAGCACTCCAGTTTAGGGGTACGCAGTCAGCTGAGCAGTAGCTTTAATACTAGGCTCTAGCGAGAAGGTCTAATTATACAGAGCAGAAATGATCACACAGGAGTTCTGGGGCTCCTGATTTGGCACTATCAGAACTGGTACTGGAATACCACGAGCAGCCTGGCTCGCCTTCTATGAAAAGAGTTCTGTGTCCTTCTATGAAAGACTTGGCTTAGAAAAGGTTTTGAGATGAACCAGTTCATGGTATCTGTCTATGTACCTGTATGGATTACAGAATTACAATAGCTGAAGCTAGTCAATTGAGGCTAAAAATGGAATATGATCTTTTTAGCAAGCCTAAGTGTGTTTTAAAACAATTTTACCTGTATGATTTTTTTCAATTTTTTTTTCCAATCAAGCCAGGACACTCTTTCTAAAATACCTACTTCAGTTCAAAGACAGCTGTTACCTTGAGGCAGGAACTGACACAGGTGAAACAGATAAGATGATCACAGCTTAACAGTCAGTTAAACCATAAATCACTAATGCAAAAAGATGTGCATTTAAAGTAGTATTATTCAACGTATTAGTTCTATAACTCTCAGTAAACCTGCTTCTGCTTACTCATGTGTCAGAGCCACAAGCTATGCTAGAATCACTGACCACTGTTTATTCCTTACTCTGTCTCTCTCCAAAGACCGCATGTCACCTTGTCAGTAACTAACTCTTTCCATCTCCCACAGAATTATGAACCAGATGAGCTGACCAAAGAGATGGCCCACCTGGAAGGACTTATGAAGGACCTTAATGCCATCACTACAGCATGACCACCTTCACCAGGACATGACTCCAAATCGTATCACAAGTCTTGGGACTCAGCCTTGGAATGCAAGGAATTGTACAGAGAATAAAAAATACAGAAAAAGAGGGACAGCACATTGAGAGCATTCACAGAAAGCAAACGAACCAACTGGTGCATTTGTGCTACAGCTCGAAGAGAGATGACCTTTCTTGTCATCATCCTGCAATGAAGTCATTGCCAGGTTGAATTCCATTTACCTGCTGAGACCATGCAGGATGGGACGCATCAGGCTGAAATCTAGCATCCAGACAAAAGGAAAAAAAAAGTGGACTTCACATTTTTTTTTCTGGTCAGGTTTTGTCTCAGTGGTGTGATTGCCCTGCCTTTTCAGTGTTGGACATTCGCATTTATGTACAATTTTGTGTTTTTATTTTATCTTTTTTTTATAAAAAGGAAAAAAACTAATGTAATCAAAAAAAAAAAAGGAGAAACTGTTGTTTTCCACAGCCTAAACTGACATTTGACTGCTTGTTCTATTGTGTATGAAAATTCATTGCCAGTGTGGGTTGTTTTGTTTGTTTTTTATTCTGCGTATAATTACGTCCCCTTCTGGCAGTTAATCCATGGCCTTTTGGGATGCTGCACTGCTATTTGTAAGCTTTTTTTTATTATTATTTTTATATTATAATTATTAAAAGCCTGACTTTCTCCTCTCATCACTGTGAGATTACCAGTCTGTTTGAATTGAAATGTAATTTGAAAGGCTTGTTTGTCGCTTTTTGTGCAGTTTCAATATTTTGAGTGGGGAAAAGTAGATGGGGAAGGGGAGGGGATCCAGTGGGAGGTTTCATTATTGTTGTTTTCCTGTCTTTCTACATTGACTCGAAAGACTGAAGAAAATGAAAGCATCTTCTGTAACGTCCTTCCTTGTAACTTCAGCATACTGTGTCTCTGGTTACTGAATTGCAGTGAGAGTCATTTAGAAACATTAAAAAAAATTCCTCCTGTAAAGTAGGGTTCCTTACGTTTAGATGACACTACAGCTTATTTTGGCATCAGTGCTCTGTTTTGTTGTTGTTAGGTTAAAGACCACATCATGAAACTGAAGTGCAGATTAACACTCACGCAGCACGGAGAACTTGGCACAGGCAGCAGCGCCCAGGCACAGCACTTCGCTGCTGGTGCTGCTGAGGTTTGAGCAACCTGGCCCTCTTCAAGCAGAGAGCTGTGGACCTCTTCTAAACATTTTACGCCATGCCTTTGAGAACACATCACGTCCACAGGCTCCTTCAGCAGCACGTCCAACCCCAGTGCAATTTCTCTATCCCAGGCCATTTAAACAAGAATCTTCTTAAGGATTCTTGAGAGACATAAGCAAGGCAAAATGTATTTTTTTACACTTTTGAAACCATTTAAAATAAAAACAGTATTAGCAACTCAGGTGCTGTTCACATTATCTGTCTAGAAAGGAAGGAAAGTTAAAAGAGAGCTCCTGTATGAGGGGAAAGAAAAGCTTTTTTATTTTCTCAGTATCATTGCTTGGCTCTGCCATACTCTGTGAGGAGGAATGGCAGAAAAGGAGACTATTTCAGTGAGAAAAATAAACAAAACCCATCTGCCCAAGAACCTTGTGTGTATTTTCACTTTTAAGATAAGATGAAAGAAACCCCCAAACTTACTGATGATTCATGTGGAGACTCCGTTCCTCCTGAGCAATGGGATTTCTAGCTTGGAAGCTCGGCATTAATGATGGAGGCAGTGCAGGTGGCAGGCAGTTCAGATGTGGGGCACTTCTAATGTAATCCAGAGCTCCTCAGCTAGACAGCTGCACCTGCTGGAACAGAACAGGAGATACCAGGATCTGTTTTTAAGTTTAAAACAAACAAAAATTGATTGCTTCCCACCCACTCCTTATTGGATATTTAATGGATTAAAATAATGGATAGTTAATGGATCTTTTGCTACAGCTAAAGCTCTGGGCCCATTTTCTTAATCCCCATCACAAAAAGAGAGCCCACAAATCATTCTGGAGAGCAGCAGGGGTTCGGGCTGTAGTTCTACTTCCTTTTTTTTCCTGGACTCTTTGTGCCATCATTTCTAGCACATTTGCTGGATTTATTTATTATTTGAAGGAAAGGAGGGAGGGAATCAATTGGAGCACCGTGGGCCACCTGGAAAATTGATGTTTGGACTTTTAATCAATACAATTCAGGGCAAAATAAGCTACAGAATATGTATTTAAATAATAAAATACACACCTTGTCCTGAAAGGAAGGGTGTATGTTTTCTTTTGCCTATTTTTTACCTATACCCAAAGAAATAGCATCTTACATACACAGTATTCTTAGCTGGTGGGTCTTTGTGAATATTACTTATGTATAACACCATGAATGTTAATATTGTCATTGAATTTGGGGAGGGGAATATTTTTAATGATAAAACAACTGTTCAAAGTTGGTTTTTTAAGGTTAAACTAAAAGAAACATTTATTCAATTCAGTGTACAATCTGTATTGCACTTTTTCACATTTTAATGCTACGTTTTCTTACATATCCTGTGATTTTAAATTTGGACATTGTGTATTCTTGTAGTGTCATAGTCGAGCTGTTAAGTGGCAGCTTCCCTCAGAGAGATTTGGGGAAAAAAAAACCTGTATATTGTTTTATGATTCTCATGTAGAATAATTTTGAGGACTGCTGTAGACGTCTACCTTTCTGTACAATTTTTTTGCTTTTCTGTAGTATTTGCTGTATACTCTATGGCTTTTTTTAATAACTTCATGTTTATTATTTTGTATTGGACATCCAATACACTTTTTTTAATCCAATCAAATTCTGGTCTGCTTGGAGAGTTTGTTCTCTTTTCAACTATTCCTCTACCTTGTTTTCCTAACCAAGGTGGTGACCAGGTTTGGGATTTTACTCGAACCTTTTTTGTTGCAGTTTGTCAGGTTGCTTCCTCCGGAGAAAGAAGAGGAACAGGAGGACACCATTAACACCATTATTCCCACCCCTACACAGGTGTGGAGCATGTAGTGTCTTCCTGGCTAACTCCCTACCCTCTGTTTGCAAGCTCAATAGCAAAAATATCATCATCTAACAAGCAAGCCTCAGGAAGCAGGATTTCAAGCCAGTGGAAGTATAAGAGAGTAAGCCATTAAATCACAGAAAAAATAACGATTTAAATCGAATATAGCACTCAAAGTGCTGTAAGCGATATCCTTGTTCTTACCTCCACACTTACTCCACTCTCCAATACTGAAGAGATTCGCTGGTCATCAGTCTCTTCTCCACAAGCCAGCCCTAATTACTGGTGTCCCACATTCCTGAGGGTATTAGACCCTTCCTCACCCTGACCTCTGCAAATGAGAACAAGCTACTGCATGGCTTTGCACTCCCTTCCTCCATCCCTATTTTGCTAGGCAAATTCCAGTGTTCTCTCCAAAGTTTTGCAACCTTGCTGAGGTTGTGAGTGGAAACGCCCCCCGCAGTTTGGGAGGTGTAAGGGAGCTGGGAACAAAGGTGTTAGTGATGTAGTTGGGAGTGCCACAAGGCACAGCCGAGATGCAGACACAGTTGACACAGCAGAAAAATGTGACCTCTATTTACTAACCTCTGGCTTTGGAAGTGAAAGACCATCTCTTATTTGGCCAGCGCAGCTGATTTCCTCGGGTACTCGCATCGCAGGTCAAGGCAGATGAACGGTGGCAGTTTTCTGAGGGCCACGTAGTCTGTTGTAAGGCAGGTAGAAGGAACACCTGCATTTGTGCCCTTCTGCAGGCTGGGCAGTGCACGGCAGGGACGCTAGATGGCAGCGATGACTTGCTGGTAAGCAAAGCTGCAAAGCAAAACCACAAACACACCATTTTTTGCATCTACCTGGAAGAGACTGTTTCTCCTCAGCCTACATTAATTAAGGAGACTGAAATTAGTGATGTTCTTTTGTTAGCAGCAGCATAGTAATGAGCTCCTGCAGCAAACTAGGTTTCTTCATGCCTCGCTGTGTCCTTCCTTGATAGCATTTATGCTGCCAACATAGGCATAAAGGTTTGACTCGCAGCAACTCAAACACCTTTGGTAAATTGGTGCAACACTTGCAGACTTCTCTGATTAAAAGCAGCCTCCTGTCTTAAGGCAGGAATTAAGGCTGGCTTTAAACTAACAACAAGTCAACGTTATCTCAAATAAGAGCATTCCTATAAAGGCACACATGATTTTAACTAAATTGCCTTGGCCAAAACCATTAAATCAGTACAGTTTTTCTGCAGGGGCAGCTCTCCCCTAACCAACCACAGGGTTTGGTCAGGTTACACCTACTCTTACTGCACAGAGGATGGTGGCTCCTGGAACCTGCCTTTTTAACAGGCAAGAAAAGCCTGAATGTGGCAGCTGGCCTGGGAGGTGAACCCAATACAATGAGGGGGAGCAAAGAAACTTGCTGTAGGGGAAAGTGTCCTGAACCGGTCAGCTCAGCTCCCTGCTCAGGGCTCCCTACACATGCAGTTGCCAGGCCCATTTCCCCTCTACAGGCAGGCCCGGCAGCAGTTGCACTTGACCAAGAACCTATCCCCTGTCCTCCAGGGGAGCAGGATTTTGTGTTTTTTGTTTGTTTTCATTTTTTCAGTTATTCCCCATTTTCAGCTCCTGTTTCCCCACCTTCTTCCCTCAGTTCCCATCTCTCCCCAGACCCCCCTCTCTTCCAGTACGTGCCGCTATTCCTCCAGACCTTCCTCTCTATCAGGACAGCAGCCGAGAGAGACAACTCTCAGAGGACTGCAATTCAGAGCAAACCTTGGTGATATCTTAGGAGGGAATTCCCCAGCCTGGCTGTCTCAGGACACCCCACCCTCTGTCAAACAGGAGGGTGGTGCTGCTCTGGTATCTGCAAACCCTGCTCATGTGAACCAGGCTCAGCACAGTCATGGTTAAAACAGCAGCAACCCCACTGCTGCAAAGGCTGGGCGAATTCAATGAGACGTGCTAGAGATGTAGCAATAAATTCATCACGTTAACTTAATCCAAACCAGGACTACTCACACCTAGCAGGCTCCAGACAAGGTGAAAGCACCCACTGGACCACACCTGGCAGTTTTGCTGCATCCCTTTTGTTTCAGGCTGCCAGCACGTCCAGCTCGAGTACTTCCATCGCTCTGTCAGGGTGGGGTGAGGGCCTCTGTCCTGGGCTTCAGGCCTGAGGGGGAAAGGAGCGACCCCAGTCACTGCTCCTGGCCAGCAGAGCCCCTGCAGGCAGAGCTGGGAGCGGGTTGGAAAGCACTGACCCTGTCCCACAGGGAGGGCGAGAGGAAGGGGCTTCCCCAGGGAAACCGGGGGCAGCCACGTGCCTGAAAGCCCCTTCCCACCCCGCACCCTCCCCGAGGCCAACCTCCCAGCCTCCTTGCACGCGAGGAGCACGCCAGGCCACATTGCTCCTCCGTGGGCACCATCACCATGGGAACTGCATCTCCTTAACTCAGCAAAGCTCCGTGCTGACAGCGGCTTCCCTCCGGTGCAGGGGTTCCCCCACAGCTGCTGCGAGGCAGAGCCCCGGTCACGCACCACTCTGAGCCACCTCCTGCCTGCCCACAGTGAGGCTTTGGAGCCTCGTGGCCAAAAAATAAAGAAATCTGTGGCTGCCAAGGAAACCTGCACCTCTTCCTGGTCCTGTCTGTCCACCAGAAGCCCTCAGTCTCAAGGGCTGCCCCTGTGTTATCAGTGATGTGGGAGTGTCACCTCCCAAACTCTCTCAGCCCCATGCAGCAGGACTGCTCTGGCAGTCACGTTTTGCCCTCCTCATCCCGGGTTTCCCCCACCTCTGCCTGCCCCTGCTGTGCTATTGCTGCAGCCTTGTGGCTCTCACAACACCCCCACACTCCAGGGACCCAGCCCCACGAGGAGATGCTGCACAGAGGCTCCTGGGGCTGATTTCCCTGATCCTACAGCATTCACTGGCCTCTCTTACCCCCAGGTAAACAAGGTGCTTCTTCCCAGCTCAGCCTGCTCCCAAACACTTAATACCAAGCCTGCAGCCTTTGCACAAGCCCCTGCTGCTGCCCCTTCACAACCTCCGGCAGCCTTGCTCCTACCAGGGCTGAACAGGGCCACCCACACCCCCAAAAGTGAGCTGCAACTAGGGAGCCACCCCCCAAATCCCCACTGCTGCTCTTACCTAGCCAGGTCTGGAGGAGCTCTCTGCTCCCTGTGAGGAGCTGGCTGAAGCCTGCCCCTTTCCCCAGGTGTTCCCCATCTCCCTCCCCCAACCCCTTCCCAGGTGCTGAGCATTAACCCAGGTGCCTAATCCAGCACTGGGGGCTGGTTCTGTTTTGCAAGCCAGCCAGGCTCACGTGCAGGTGGGCCTGGAGAGCTGGGGCTTGGCATCGGGGATGAAGGCTGGGGTGTGGGCAGCCATTTCCAGCCTGCAGTGGTTTAGGAGCTGCGTGAGATGTGCTCCGAGGCACTGAGACTGAGGAAAACGCAGCGAGCAAACAACAGCATCACGGCAAACGTGATGGATGCTGAGCCCCCAGTGCTTGTGACTCACGGGCTCCCAGGGGATATCCCTGACTCCCCAGGACAGGCAGCTGCTTGTTTTTATACTGCTTGAACCCAAATCCTCTGATTTTGGAGACGGTTTTGCTGGGGGATTAAAACAATCCATGTCATGTGTCATTGCACAAGTGCCTCCAGGTGCCCCTGCTGTTCCCTGGGGCATCTGCAGCTCCTGTAGGTGCTCTCTGGGGTCTTCTTGGTAGAGCTGATTAAAAGCTGCAGGTTAAGCCCCTTCCCAGAGCTAGGTGTGCACCTCCTCCATTGCCACAGCTTCTCCGGCAGCACAAGCCTTATAATGACATGAAATATCAAGTTGTCCTGGCACTCGATTTTTGCCACAAATCATGAGCTGCAAGAGAGGGCTGAGGCAGCAGGGAGGCCAATAATCCATCAGGGGCACTGCTCCTGCCTGGCAGGAGCTGCAGACACGGGGCAGGCCAGCAGTATGTGACCCCAGGCTGGGACGCTGTGCCCCTCGCAATGCAGGGGACGGTGCAGAAATGCTTACAAAGGAGCAGTGCTGAAGCCCTGTCCTTTATCCTTCCTGCTCCCCCCAAGAACAAAAAGTCACTCCCGGGTCCCTCCTACCTCCACTGGGTTTGCTGCAGCAGTGCCAGGCCACTGACGGAGCACCAGAGAGAGCAAAGAGCAGCTCCCGTCCCCGGTGAGCCCCCCCAGGGGCTGTGCTGGCCCCCGCGGTGCGGGGAGAGGCTTGTCAGCACCGAGCCTCTGCAGAGAGGAGCTGGCAGTGATGGGTACGCATGGGGACGGAGCTGACAGCAGCCTTTGGCCGCAGCAGGAGGCCAGTGTGGGTGGACAGGGCACCGGAGAGGCAGTGCTGGGCCTGGGGAGGGCAAGTGGCCGTGCCCTCCTGCCAGCCACCCACGGCACCTCTGATGGAGCTGGGGGGGCAGAGCAAGCGTGCTCATGCTGCGAGGCGTGCGTGGGCGAGCCCCAGCCATGCCCATCACAGCTGAGGAAGGCAGGTGCATAAAAAAAAATAAACTAAAGGGAGGTGGGGGGAATAACCCAGAGGAGCTGTCTAATTTGCAGCCCAGCCAGGGAGAGCAGCTTCCCAGGGAGGGGAAGGTTTGGGCACGCAGGGCTGGAGATGCTGTTAACGCCTTCCTGCCTGGCAATGCCTGCAGCCTCAGGCTGCTCCTGTTCCCCTCCTGGGAGCCAGGCAGCGTTCCCAAGTCTGGTCCCCTCTGTCAGGGGTATTTTGGAGGAGACGGCTGGTCCTGAGCGTGCTGCAGTAGCCACAGCTCATGCCAGGCAAGAGATTGCCTGGGAAGTCCTGTGAAGGGCCTGCTGTCTGCTGGGGTCCCACTGAAAGCTGTCAAGCTGCTGTTTCTCCTCCATGAACATGAAAGAGCCTCTACCTCTTCCCAGTGATTTCAGTCAGTGTCTTTTCTAATCAGGTGCCTGCTAAGAGGTGGACTTGAGCAGAGCAGTCATTGATAGTGATTAGGGTCAGCTGGTAGCTGGAGGCTGAAAGGCAGCTGGTTTGCAATCACTCCTTAAAAAGAGTATTAAAAAAAATAAATCAATCAATCTACCTTCCTGCAAATTTTAAGTGGCATAATAAAGTTAGGATTTTTTTTTTTTCCCTTTAATTTGTCAGGGGTAGGCAGTACCATACTCAGCTCCCTGGAAATCACAGCCTAAAGTCAAAGTGGGGCTTAGGCACAGGCTCAGTGTGCTGGAATTGGTGAGCAAATGGCTGTCAGTGGCAAAAGGCAACATGCACGTGTGAAAATTCACCCCCTTTTCTCCAGCAGGGAAAAAGCCAGCAGGCAGCCGGGGGATTTGTCTGAAGACGCCTTGCCAAGGCCGACAGCAGTCCCTTGGGATCGCTGGGAGCAGAGCACAAGCTCTGGCAGGGCGACCTCCCCTTCCCATCAGGTGCTGGCAGCCAAGGCGATGCATTGGCAAGGGGGTAGCGTTGCTCATCACGTGCCTACGAGGCTTGGCTTACCTTCTGCAGGTTTCTGAGAGTGGGTTTGAGCCCAGAAACCAAAGAGGCTGTGGTCACACCCTGGTGGAGGGGCCTAAGGCACACACAACACCCAGCATAGCTCTGGGTGTGTGTGGGGGCAAACAGGGGACGCAGTGCTACAGGGTGCAGTGCGTGGGCTCTCCCAGCTGCCTTGTGCAGAGGGGCTGCGAGGATGAAGCTCTCTGGGGCTCAGGGAGGTGGCTGCCACCCAGCAGTGCCGGGCAGGAGGAGTTACCTGCGAGGGGAAAGGTCCTGCCTGCCTCCTCGGGTGCTGTCTCTGGCTCTCACACTGCCCTCGCCTACGGAAAGCAGAAAATCCTGGTCAGCTTTTCACCGGGGCTGGTGAGGATGCCCTGGCCCCTTGCTTTTCCCTCCCTGGGCTTCCCCAGCCACTTTGCTCCCTCCCTGTGCCCCTCTGGGGGCTGTGCTCCTGCTCTGTACCCCTCTCCGAGCGAGGTACATGAAAGAGGTGGGCCGGGCTGGAAAGATTTCTGCCCAGCGCATCACCTGAGGGTATGGACCTCCTGCCTGGACGCTTTTTCCTCCTGCTTCTGCCTGAAGGTGGTGGGGCAGCAGAGGGTGATCCTGCAGGCCTAGAGCAAAGCTAATTGGTGTTTTAATTTGTATTTTATCTGCTGTGGATTGCACGTGGGTGGGAGTGTTGCCTTGTGGCTGGTTTCCCTTCCACATCACACAGAGCAGATCCCACGCAGTGTGCAGCTCAGTGGTGCTGCGGGCAGGCAGGTAGGTGCTTGGCCCCAGAGGAGTGACCAAGTGAGTGCTGACATCAGGGTGTGGTTCTCTTTACTTTAAATAAAATACACACTTTGATGTACTCATCTATTTAAAGCTGTGGTTCTGAACTTGGTGGCTCCCCCAGCAAGGATAAAGGTGCAAATCCCTTCTCCTTCCCCAGGGCACGCGCTGGAGCACCCTGCAGGCTCCCCGTGGCCTTCTGCACTCACCAGCACTGTGCTGCGAGCTCCTGGGGTTTGCAGCGGGGATAAAAAAAGGACTCAGCTGCTTGCCTGCACAACCCCAGCCCTAGCCCCTTCTCAGTGCAGCTTTGGCTTCATTTTCCTCCCTCTCCCTTTGGGCTAATCACCCCCCCATACCCCAAGATCTGTCTTTGGGAGGTGAGTGGGGCAGGCAGCCAGGCTGGGACTGTTTTCTGGGACAAGGGAGAAATCCCCAGAGCTGAGATCCTGCCTTCCCCTGCTCTGAGTCCCCACCCCAGCAGGCTGGGTCTTCACAGGGCACTGCAGAGAGGTAGAGAAACCACCCTGTTGGATGGGAGGGTGACTTGGCTCTGGTAGCTGCACAGCTTCTTCCTGACTGCCGGTGTGTACCACGAAGTCCCAGTTCAGTCTCGAGTCCTTCCAGTGAGATAAGGAGGCAGCAGTGCATAGGCTAAACCAGCCAAGCCCTTCCAAGCCCTTCCTTCCTTCATGAAAATCCTGGAAGTTTCCAAATCTTCTGTGAAGTATAATTAATTTTCTTTTATGTTTCAATAGGGCAGGACTGACTCCCAGCCCGTTTCCTCCATAATGGTAACGGCATGCAAACTAAGGCAGCTTGGAGCAGGCATTTATTTTGAAAGGCAAACCAAGTATTTTCCTGCCTGCACTTCCCTCTGTGAAACCCAGAACTGACCTTCCAGGGCAGAGCCGTCTGGTTTCAAGGGAATGGTATTTTCTGATGAAAAGGTTTAGTTTGCTCTTTCCTCACCAGCTCTGCTCCTGTACAGCCAGACAAGGTCAGAGGATTGATGGAGGGAGACCATCAGGGTCCCCTATTTTCCTGTACCATCAGAAGCAGGAGGAGAGAGCCAAAAGGAGCATCCTGCTTGGCTTGCACTGCATTGTGTTGGTGGAAGTGTGTGCGAGTCCCTGAGCATCCTTCTCTGCAAAATCCTGATTTTATTCACAGCCTTTGGGCTCCTGTTCATTTATTTACTTATTTATGCCATCTCTGGCATTGGGAGTCCTGATTAAAGAACATCCAGGACCTTGTTCTCACCCCAGCAAGGAGGACACAGTGCTCATGTGCTAGCAATTAAAGCCTTCCAGAGGCTGGGTGAGCTGTAAGGTTAAAGGGCTAAATAGAGCCATGGGATGAGAACGAACCAAAGCAATGAGATTTCAGAGAAAGAAAACTGAACGTGAGCCGATCAGCAAGGCAGGGGGGAGGCTCCTGGTGCAGGGACGAGGATGTCCAGCTGCACCTCGCTGCCACGGGCTGCAGGACACACGCCAGCAGCTGGGCTGCTTTGCTCTGTGTTCAGCAGGCTCTGAGGAAGGGGCACGAAGCCACACGGCTGCGGTGTGAGTTACTGACCCCAGCAATCCATTCTGTGCCCATTTCCTAGTCTGGATTTGGACAAAGACTCAAAAAGGATCTCACAGGAGGGAAATGAGAGATAAGGCTGTGAAGTGAAAGATAAGGCTTGAGGCTAGTTTTACCTTCCAAAAGTACTTCAGGTCCTGACTCTGGCATCATCACTGAGCTTAGTTTAAGACTTGGAAATGGTGACTTTTTGTCCAGATTTTCATCCGCTTTCTGTGATAGTCCTGATTCCAAGCTGTTAACTTCTGCATCCTGTGGAAAGGCTCCCTGAGCTCTTCTCTGAGGCTCACAAAGTCAGCCACAGATTCAGATCTGTCAGTACTGTGAAGGAATCTCATACACTTTTAGCAAAACAACCTGCAGGTTTCTCCTTTGCGCTGCTAAAAATTAAAGTGTAGGCAAAAGCGTAGAAATTTTACTGTCAGTGGCTTACCATACACTGCCTACAGGCATGTGTGAGGTGGAGAGGTGGCAGCAGGTAAACATGCCACCAAAGTTGTGAAAACAGCAGGAAAATACAGATAGGAAGTGAGACAAAACCTTTCATCATCTCTCTCCAGTAGGGCAGGGAGGGCTGAAATGACAAACGAGGTGTTTTTTTTCTTCTTGAAACCTCCTCCCACAGTGCCTGAATTTCAACACTCAAAGCAGACAGCAAGTCAGAGGGCTGGGTTTTTACTTTTTTATTTACTAAGGTTTTTTATTGTGTGTTTTATATTGCAAACCCCACCCCTAGAACTCTTCCCTCCCTTCCCCCCGAAATAAAACAAAAAATAACAATAATAATTAATATAGTTCCACCTACTGAGACAAGCCTAGTGTTGACTGGGGTCCAGTCGGAGTAACTCAATATTGGCTACTGCACCGCTAAGAACTGGAAAATCAAACAGCACCCCCGTGAAAATCAAAGCGAAGGAACCCAACCGAACGCAGGATGTTCACCGGCCTGGCGGAAGGAACGCACGTCTACCAGAGACAGCCCTCAGGGTGTTTCTGTGCACCTCCATTTGTCTGAGTGTCCACAGGGGTTGTTGAGATTCAAGTACCAATGCAGCAGTCACGGGACAGTCATCCACGAGGGCTTGGCATTGCTGGGCTGAAGACCTTTCCCACCTGTTTGTATCGAATTCCCCAGACCCAAACAGCTTAACTCCCAACCTCTTGAGATGTTTGCTCTAGGGGGCCCTCTGGCATACGGGGTAAAAAAGGTTGTTAAAACAAATATAATACTTGAAAGGATATCGTGAGTCTTCCTCTAGGAACTCGTACCTTTGAACTTATGAGAGGGTCTGTGACTCTGCTTCAATTCCGTCAACTGATTCTGTTTCAAGATGAACCTGTACATGTTTTGGAAAAGCAGGAGCTATGCGTTACAATTATCACCTGCCAATCAGTCCTACAGGAGGGTCAAAACTGACATGTATTTTAAAACTAGGAGATACATATATATATAAATGTGTGTGTGTGTGTGTATGTGTGTGTGCGTGCTTACACATGTGCATAAATAGACTACATATGTGTATAACTGTATACTATATATATATAAAAGCATGTGTGTATATATAGATATATATATAAAAATCTATACACACACACACACACACCCCTCCCTCCACACACACTCACACATACATAGTTGTATGTAGCTAGTAGAAAAAAACATTTCTAGAGCTCCCCTGACCCTTTAAGGAAGACCGAAGCTGATTACATCTGAATTCTGAGCCACCAAAGCACGTTGAAGCAAGAGTGCCCAGTAATGCTTGCAGCAACATTCAAGATACAGGCACATGTCAAGAGTTTTGCAAACAATTCGGTATAAAAATCAACTGTCAGCCAGTGGTTTTGGGGGAAGGAGGTAAGAGAGGGGGTTGTATGGACCTGTATCGTTACTGTGATAATATTAAGTTTTTTGGCACTGCTGCATGAAGTTCCGCTTTCCCTCTGTGGGCTGGAGGGACTCCAAGATAGCTAGAAACAGAGGGAAGCCGGACAAGGGTTTCTAACAAGTGTTAGAAAAGTTGAGCACCTGACTCTTTACATTGAGGTGGCTGGAGACACCTCTTGGCCTACTGAAAAAACAAAGAGAAAGAAAGAATCAAAAGAAAAGGAGACATTTGCTCTAGAGGTAAAGGCTGTAGCTTCTCAGTGCTGTGTGCACCAAAAGGCCCCATTCTGTCTTCATCCCACTTTGCCTTAAATCAGGGGAGCCCAAACTTTCCAGCTCAAGGTGCCTGCCAGGCCCCAGATGTGTCCAGTGATGCTGCAACTGCAGGGCGAGACCAAAGCCAATCAATCAGGTGCAGGCTGTTATTGCTGGTGAACTCAAGCAAACGATTTCGATTCCCCCATCAGAGGAGAAGCATGGACCACGGCTGGCCGAATTTCTGGTTTAATCTGTTTTAATGGTATGAATGTAGTTGCAAATCTGAAGGATTCTTGGCTGGGCACCGGTGTTGCCCTCAGTGCCTCCGAGCTCAGACTCCCCTGGGCTAAGGGGGAGGAGGGCCGGGGCGACTGCACCCCACCTTGCCATCTTACCCTACCCGGTTCTCTTCAGAGCAGTCAGCCCATGGACACCGAGACACCGAGACCGAGAGGGAAGATTAATGTGCTGCCTTTCTTCATCCCTCCCTTGCTCTGCACGCCCCAGCCTGGAGGGCAGCACGCACGCTGTGCACACCGCGAAGACGCTGAGGCTGCCATCCTCAAGGTGCTCTAGGTGATCCTGCTCGGCAGGGAATTGGACCAGGTGATCTTCAGAGGTCCCTTCCAACCTCAGCCATTCTGCGATTCTGTGATTCTTCTGCTGCAGCCAGCAGGCTGGCAGCGACGGGACTTCTCCTTCAGAGCATTGGTGGAACGAGACAAGCAGCTGCAGTCAGGCCCATCCATCTCCTGGTCACCCTCCTCTTCTTCAGATGGAGTCCAAAAAAACAACTCAGCTCTTCTGAAATCCGCAGAGGGGACTGTGTTAGTGAAACTCGCTACTCTTCTTGCCTCCTCTGCGCCCTGCTGATCCCAGGAGAAAATCTGGGAGGCAGTGAAACTTTCCGATGCGTGTGGTGAGCCATCCGAGTCCCCCCATGTCTCGGTGCCACAGGCCAGGTTCAGGTGCACCAGGCTGGTGCAAAGCGGTGCTAAGCTGAGGCCAACCAGAGCTGTTCCAAATACACCAGCTACGGGCCTGACCTGATGCTCCCTTCTCTGGCCCACGTCAACCTCGGATCTTTGTCTCAACAGGAAAACCTTTTTTGGTGGCTTCTATGGCTGATCATTTCACATGTTCCAGCTCAGGCACACGCCTCGTCTGTGTGTTACCTCGTTGGATTAAATTTGCTCATATCCTTTTGTTCCATGTATTAAAATATTCTATAAAATCAAGTGACCAAAAATCTATAGCTCTAAGAATACCTGGTTATCTTCTTTTTTTTTGTTGTTTTTCATGTGTTTTTGTTTGTTTGTTTGTTTCTAATCACAGTTAAACCTAAACAAAAGAAATGGAGGAAAAAGAGGGAAAATAAAAAAAAAAAAGAAAGATTAATGAAAGTCTAATTGGGAACCGAATTGCACGGCTGACATAAACAGCTCTCAGGAGTCCTCACAAATTGGAGGGCAGTTTGGATCTGACAGGCTCCAGATCCCCCGTGAGCACTATGGATTCTTTCCGCCCACCAGCAGTCAGGGAAGCAGTGCCCGCAGCGCTGGCCCCAAACACCAGCGGATGTGGTAAAGAACCTGAGGACATCTGACGTGGTAAAGTCACGCGCCCAGGAATTGAGCTACAAGGCTTCCCGAGAAGTCCAGTCCCTCCACCAGGAAAAGGAGAGAAGCTGGAAACAGATTCTCTAGAGGAATGAGAACTTTGGCTCAGTGTCTGAGCCAGCTCTTGGGGCAAAGATGGCTGGGAAGCAGAAATCAACTTGATGTCCTGGTTCAGGCGTCCGGGTGGCACGGGCGGCGTGCTCTTGGACTGCAGGATCTGCGGAGGTGGGCTGGCCGTCTGAGGCAGGAGCAGAGAGCCGTGAGAGCCTGAGGCCCCAGAAGGGCCACACTGAAAAGTTCTTGTTGCCACTGGGCTCTGAGTAGGAGGACTAAGGCCAGAAGGGGTGTAACAGGGAGAGGCGATGCCAGACTGTTGGAGAGGAGACATGGAGGCAAAAGGCGACCGTTCCTGGTGGAGCTGGGCTATCGTGCCAGTTACAGACCCTAATGCACTTGGATGCGTTTGGCACAGGCCTGAGGACGGCCCACCAGAGGCCTGTGCCAGCTGGCTTAGGCTGGCGGATGGCGAGTTGGAAGAAGGAGGGGGCTGGAAGTGATTAATTCCCCCCAAAGTCCCACTGCCTGAGAGCTGCTGTAACTGTCCCCCCTGCAGTGGTCTCGTGGTGGGCTGGAACTGGTTGAGAAGGCCGGGGGGTGAATTCGATGCGAGCTGGGTGAGTGATGCTGATGGAGAGCTAGTTGTGGCTTGCTGGAAGTGCCCGAATCCACTGCTGGGAAGGGGTGGCTGCTGCTGCTGCTGCTGCTGCTGCTGCTGCTGCTGTTGTTGCTGCTGCTGCTGGGTGGGCTGAGCTGTCCCTAAAGGTGATCCGGAAGGTGCTTGTTGGAGCTGGCTCAGTGCCACAGAGGACGCACCACTCAAACCCGTCTGGCTCGAGCCAGCGGGAGGGGATCCCACCTGGAACTGGCCTAAGCCAGCGGCGGCCGAGTATCCTGCGAGCTGCTGGATGTGGTAGGAAGAGGACGATGGGGTTTCTGCTCCCGGTGTGTGCAGCTGGGATGGAGTGCTGGAGGGGGAGCCGACGGCGGAAGGCCCGGCCGATGGGATTAGAGACTGAAGCCTTTTCAGCTGCCTCGGGGTCTGGCTGGACTGCTGCCCCAGGGAACCCAGGACAGACACCGGGGGCCGGAAGATGGCTGTGGGGAGGCGTGGGTGGTGGGTCAGAGCTATCGCGACAGAAGTGGTGGCTGCTGCAGCCTGCAGGGGTGCCTGGATCAGTGGAGTCCAGATGACGGGCGTGGGGGTGGATGCGGCGGCAGCGGCAGCAGCAGCAGCAGCCTGGACATTGTGAGCACAGTGTGCCATCTCTCTGTCGTGCTGCACAATCTGCTGGATGATCTCATTCTCTTGGTAGTTGAAAACACCTGAATTGAGGTCATGCTGGACTTTATGCAGCAGAATGGAATTTTTCTTACCTGTAGGGAAAGCGAAGAGAGAAAGGGTCATTCTGATATGGCAAAGTAGGGGAGGCTTCCTCAAAGCTTCCTGCCAGACCTTCCTCGAGTTGTTGGCACTGTCTCCCCTCCACTGTCATTATGGGCTCTGCATACGGTCTTTGTGCTCCAGCAACAAGATGATAAACATCGTCTCTTCAGCTTTTGTGGTATGATCAACATACATCAAGGTCCCATAAAACTGCCTGGCAGGACACATAGTCTTAGACAGTAGGGCCAATTTTGAGAAGTGTGGCAGACCGGTAGCAAAGCTTATGAATCTGGAAGAGTGTCATTTTGCAGCTCATAATCTAAATTTCCATTTAGAAAAAGAGCAGGAAACCAAAGACCATAATTTTTGTATTTGCAAAGGAAAACCTCAGAAACACAAGTTCAGTGCAGTCTCCTGAGTCGTCAGTTACTCTCCAGACATGTCTTTTCATCATCTGTCTCATGCATCTTGCTCATTCTGAAGTCGATCATTTGTTTCTAGTTGAAATGGAATTTCTCTATGAAAAATGGGCAGGACTTTACGTGCTGGAAAAGCCCAGGTGGCCCAAGTAAGAGCCCTGAGACACGCTGCAGCTACCATTATTTGGCTGTGTCCTTCTAGCCCAAACTTTAAGGAAACTGCAGGCTAGCAAACCTCATGTTCCAGCTGGACTTTCTAGCCTGCAGCAAAATATTAGCTCAGCGCTTTGCCTTTTCAATGGGCTGGAAAATGTGGCATAATGAGTTTGTCTGGCCTGAGTGTGCACCTGGCACTGAAGGGATGATCTCTCCTGGACTGAAGCAGGGGGATGAGATGCTGCCAGGGATGCCCTTTCACCAGAGCACAAATGCTTTCTCAAAGGACAGGATTTGTGATGTGGATAGGCACTCTGTGTAACAACTTTTGTATCTGGGTTCTCGTAACAGTCTGTGCATGGGTAACTGTGCCAGCATTGATTTGTAAGGCATTGGTGTATGCTGGCTTGAATGGTTTTCTTACAAAACTGGTGTGGATTAGATCCTCTCTTCTTGCCTTTTCAAGGGTCCTCTATCCTGACAGCATATGCCAGTTTGAACTGATGACAGCACCTGCCTATCGGCTGCCTTTTCGCTTTTATTTATTGCAATCATTTGGATGTGAAGGGTTCAGCCTAGCAAGCTGTGTGCACCCTGGTTGTGTGTCTGCACACAGCTCATTCTGCAGCTGAAGCTCAGGGGTGCAGAAGGGTCACCTCTAGACGAGATGCCGGCTGGTTTGGATCAGACCAAAACCTGAACTAACCTTCCTCTTGAACCAAACGCTTCCTCAGGCCCACTAGCAAACCTCTGCTCCGATTCAAATGTCATTTCTTCTGGTTCTGATAGCTTTGAGTTCTTGTACAGGACCAGGGTAAGCGCACAGCATCTTGCCAGCTGCTGGGGAACCAGAGGGGCCTCTTTTCAGTACTTTAATCCCCAAATCATGTCATGTTTTAAGAATTAAAAGCCGGCAGTGCTGCTTCTGTCCATTAACAAGTTTGCTGCAAACAAAGGCTTATCCATTAAGTTTGTCTCTACTCTGTCGTGAAATCACTGCTTTCAAGGTAAGTCAGCCCTTGTTATTACCAACTAAAACCACAGTATGGTACTTAATTTGTCCCATATGGCATTCTAGTTTAAACTGGCCAGCTGATAGTTTCCAAGAAGGAATGGTTAGGAGTGGACTGCCACCTTGGTATTAGTTCCCAGTGAGATTCCAGAGGAATTTCCTTTCAATCCTATGCTGCTGAGATCTCAGGTCTTTGCACCTAGATGTCATCCAGACTGTTGTTTCTTTTACTGTATGGTGTATCTTTTACATCTGTAACAGGTAAAAGGCTTACAGCTGAAGGACATGATTCTTACTCTAGTCAAATGTAAACTCAAACGTCTGGCAGCCAAGGACTTGAATGACACTCAGAGGAGAGTAACTGGTATCCTGGTGTCCTAAAAGTAACTCAGACATGAGGGAGTTTTGAAGATAACTAGCTGAGTTCTAAAGCTACCACAAGAAAGAGGGGAAGCAATTGTTGCAGAAATAAGGAGGAATTTATAAATCATAAGAGAGATTCTAGTCACTACCACGTACAATGCCAGGAAGGCATCCAGTGTTTTAGTTCTAGCTGCAAAGCTGGAGAAGGTGCAGAAAATATCCACAAATCAGGCTTGAAAACTATCTGTGGGTGAGTACTATGTATTCAGCTTCTCTCGGACAAGAGGTGACTTGATACTGATTTATAGGGAACTTCACAGACGCAGGAAGCTGATAAGAAACATTCCCTTTGGTTCCAGAAAGCCCCACAAGATACTGTGATTTTAGACAAGCTCAGAAAAAAAAGATAAGGAGCAATCTGACAGTAATTGTAGTTTTTCCTTCACTGTACTTTTCAAAATCAAGCGTTTCTCTCCTTATAAAGGAGGAGGTGTGGGCTCTAACAACTGAGTGCTATGCAATAGTGCTATGCAATTGTTCACAGCAGGTAAAGCTTAAAATCCACAGCTCCCTGGTCAACCCCTCCAGTGGGCTGAACTGCACCATAAAACCAAACCAAAATGCTGACCGGGTTTTAAGGACGTATCTGTTGTGGGTAGAGCTATGGGATACTTAATGGTTTTGTGGTTTACCTGCTGCTGATTACTCCCTCCAAAAAAGCAGATAGGCAGATGGACAGGAATGGATCTTAGAGCTCTGGAAGGACACAGACCTGAAGGCAGCCAGTGTTCAGAGCTGCTAATGCCATTGCAGGGGCTGGAGAGCCCGTCCGCACTGAAATGCTTGTGTACAATACCTATACTACACCCGTTTCACTGTATAACAAGCTGGCATGGACAGCACCAGGTATCCCCTAAACAGAGCCTGCCTCTACCTGCCAAGCACGCCAGCAGAGCACGAATGTCACCTTTAAAATTCAGAGCATTTTGGCAGTGAAGGAGCAGAGGGTCACACTCTACACAAATGCTACTTTCCAGGCAGCGTCTTCTAGAAGCACACACCCACTCACAAACAAATTAGATCACAAAATGCTGCTTAAACAGAAACAGAAATGCTAACTGCTCCAAGTCTGGAGAAAAAGAGCAACCAATCTAAATAAATTGACAGGTAAGAGAAAATCTGGCCAGCACACTTGAGATAAAAAGCAATTCAGTCTGCAGGTTTGTAATCATTTTCTTTCTGGAGTTGAAGGTACAAATCCCAGCATGGGGAATCTTGCACAACTGCAAGGTCAGGATGTGGATGGGAGACGGCATGCTGAGTTCGAGCCAGACAGGCAAAAAACTGCCCAGCTGCATTTGCTTTCCTGATAACAGCTTGTAGCAGAACCGGGCTGAGGAGGGACAGCTTGGGTAGAAGGAGGAGAAACAGCAGATGTTGCTAGTGCAGCTTTCCGAAAAGCTCGATACCAGCAACTGCTCTGCGCTTCCATCACCGCACCTCATCTCGCTCTTTTAATTCCATGTCACCTGTCTTTGGCTTCTGATTTGCTTGTCTGTGCTTGAATAGCCTGCCATTTCCAGTGCTGCCCTCAATTCCAACGAGAGCCCATTGCGATGTTAATCAGGGCTGCACGGATGAATTGAGGAGACTGATGTTTTCATAACTGGAGCTCCTGACAACACGGAAAGACTTCAACAGCAGACTGGTTTCTTTGGCAGATCACTAAATGGAGAATACACTAACATTTTCCAAACGCACATACGATTTACTGCAAAATGGTTTGATCAGAGCTCCTTAAATTTGTGTCACGTTGATAAAATAATTCCAGTAAAAGCCTTGGAATGACTATTTTTGTTATTTTTTAAACAGGACATTTCAGTTTTCCTTTGGAATTACATTACATTTTACTGTTTTTCTGAACCCAACTTGAATTTATTAACTGTTTCATTAGATCAAATTTTTCCTCGTCTTTTTTTTTCCAAGAAAGTCTCAGATTTCAGCTCCAGGTCATTAAAAGAAAATACTGAAAATGTTCTTCCAATTACTGAAGGGGAGAAGAGTTTTCAAAATAAATTTTTCAAACTTGTAACTGGTTAGCAGACTGAAAAATTAATTGTTTCCACTGTTCTAATTAATTGCATCACTCATATGATGCTTCCACACCCTGATACAAGTCTGATTAGTTGCTTCTGGAGAAAAACTCTCCTTCCAGCCAGCACCAGATTACAACAGGCACACAGCAGTGCCCTGCTGGCATAAAAACATTTTCCTGGCAGGTCTGACTGAAGTCCTGCATGAAACAGAAGCCAAGAGCAGAATGAGGCAGTGGGCGTCAGTTTGCTTGGGCTGGTGGTTCTGAGATTATTTCTGCCCCCCTTCCATCTTATTTATGAAGTTGCTTCAGTTTCAAATTCATTTTTCCTTGTCTGGATTTATTGTCACTGCACCAGCCTCAAAAGGAGAGCAAACAAGACAGCAATCTGAAGACTGAAAGGCTGATTAGTTTGGCTCTGTGTAACCCTAATTAAAACTATGCCCTGCAACCTACAGCTATACTCAGTGAACTGCAACAGAGCCCTGTGTTCTTGCTAAGCCAGGGAGAGGCTTCATTAGGAGAGAGGAAAGGGGACTCCAGCTTCCCCTTCACCCTAATCATGGCGTGATTATGGAGGCTGGCTGCTACTGGAGTTTCTCCTTCTGTGTTGTTTATCCCATAGAAAGTGTTGAGCAGAATCTCAGGTACTAAACAACCCATCCATGCATTTCTCCTAAACCCCAAAATACTACATAAAATTAACAAGATTCTAAAGAAAGCTGTAATTCTAATTTATAGCATTTTGTTGTCATATCCTGTGAACTGGAAATTAAGCAGAACTTTTGCTTTGGACAAGTAAAAATGTAAAGGATGTTTCCCTTGGAGTCCTGGCACTGGAGAAGCCTACACACACACGGTCACCCTGCCCGATGTCCCGAGACCTGGAGTGTTCAGGTTCCGCTGGTGGGAACATCCCTCGTGGGAAAACAAAGACCAGGGCAC